TTTATTTAATACTAGCCTAAAATACATTTTCTTGTAACCAAGAAAAAATTTCTTACAAAGTCAAAAAAACTGCCGATTAATAAAAATAAACGAAACCAAACAGCGGCAAAGCACGATTGCGTTACATCGCATGTTCGACTGATTACTGGTTCGATACGTGTTGACATAGTGTCAGTCATCTGGTAATAAAATATCTTGAAGACGGGTTCGCAATTCTGGGACGGTTCTTGCGGGATTCGATGGGAGCTTTTTCTTCATGATATGCCACAAGGCTTCAATTGGCAATAGATCTGGACTACGACACCCATTTTAAAACTAAAATATTGTTTTATAACATTCAGCCTTTTACTTTTTTAGCCGTATGACAAGCGGCATCATCTTGTTGCAAGATACATTCAGTATTTGGGGTATTAAGTTATTTTGAAGCACATTAAGTAAGTTTCTCACTCCATTTGATCCTCAAATCATATCAGAAACAGGAAACTTAACTTTTCTCTAAGACAGCTATTCTGAAACACTTTTTCTTTAGTCCTTATGACACGACTTCTGCTATCACCAACGCCTACTTTAAATCTGGCTCATCACTACAAATAATGGAATTCTATTGGTTCGGAGACCATAATTTGTATTCTTTGACCCACGCTAGTCTGTTTTTCTTCTGAATCATTGTCAGTAAGGGCTTCTCTACTGAATTAAAAAAGATAATAAAAAAATTAAGTCTAACTTGTAAGTTTCAAATCTCAGTTTTCGGGCAGCTCTGTGAGAAGTTGCTCTTGAAAACAACTTTTTTGTGACAATCTGTTTTAAGGATCTTAAGTTTATATTGCAATAACGCGGGCGACTTCCAGTTTTGGGCTTTGAGCCACAGATTCCGTTGTTTTATACAATTTAATAATATTTCCAACTGTATACCTCGATTTGTCAGCAATTTGGTCTTTTAAAAGCAAGTGAATGATCACTTTCTTCATTTGGTCAGACACAGGCTTGCCACGAGCCATTTTTAAGTTTTAACAAGAACACTAATGCATTGACAGTTGATTTAATTGCCAAAAATCAGCTTCCTAGCAACGGTAGATGTTATTTATCATTTCTTTATTACCTACCTTCATTTTATCGAAGGAAAAAAAAATCGAAATAAATATTACAAACATTTAAAGAAACCAAAAATATTATATTTGAAATCAAATTTTAATTAGCCCTCCCGTTTACAAAGTTTTAAGGGCAAACGTACGGGGAAATCTATGATACTGCTCCAAAAAATGATATACAGGGTGACTTGTAATGTCACGTATTCCTGTTAAAAGGTGATAGATTAGCTCAAAAGCAACCGATTTTGTCCTATAACGTCCTATCCAGAAGTTAACTGTTTTTGAGTTATTTGAATTTAATTTTTTTTATTTTTTATCCCATTTCAGACGGTTAAATTTAAAATACAAAAAAACTACATGTTTGATTTTAAGTTTTTTGTTATTATAGTTCATAATAAGTAATATAATGTTGAAAACTTACAAAAGTTTTAAAATTACGCTTTTGAAATGTATGATTTTCTTATTATTTTACTAACTTATTCGATAAAAAATGCAATTTTCTGTAAAAATTCTTCTAGTAATGAAATGTGCAAATTATGTAAATAATATCTCTATCTAACAAGCTTTCATTTGAGGTATAAAAGTTACAACTAACTCAAGTACAAAGACATAAAATTAAAAAAAGATGAGTAATGTTGTACGAACGATAATTACGTAGGATAAATAAAATGCTTTTATTTTAATTACAGTTTTATTTAATTACATTTCCTTTAGTATTTTACAGATTCTGCTCAAATTGTAATCCCCTGTTACGAATACACGCCCGCATTCTCTTACGTAATTCACTTTTAGTAACTTTAGAAGGTTAAGCGGCTTTTTATTTGATCAGCTGCACTGATTATCCTTGTAATTAATTAATCGCGCGTTGGTACGGGCGAAACATCGTACACCAGGCTTTTCATATGTCCTTACACATAGTAATCCATCGGTGTGAGATCTGGGCTTCTTGCTGGCCAGGCAATGGGCCCGCCTCTGCCAATCCATTGATTTGGAAATTTAGAGTTTAAATACGCCCGTACTAATCTACTATAGTGTGCGGGACAGCCGTCGTGCTGGAACCGCATATTTTATCTCGTCGCCAATGGGACGTCTTCCATTAATGGAAACAAGTGATTTTTCAAGAACTCTTCATACACTTCTCCATTTAAATTGGCGGGCAGAAAATGAGGTCCAATTAAAGATCCATCAATGATGCCCATCCATACATTGACTGAAAACCGGCTCTGAGACCCCGTCGGTCTTATTTTTCGGGGGTTTAAGGCTTCTTTATCAGCCCAGTAATGAGCATTATGGTAGTTAGTGATCCGGTCCTTATCAAACTTCGATTCATCGGTCCACAGAATTTTCTTAAAATAGTCTGGATCTTCTGTATCTGCATGTAACATGTACCTGTAGAAATCTAATCGTCTTGCAGGATCGCCCTCTTCAATCACATGCACAGGCGTGCAGTGATATTGCAGTATGCACAGTAAACCATACTTTGTATTGTGATATACCCAACTGAGCAGCCACAATGCGCGTAGACGTAGTAGGGTCTTTCTGAAACACACGAAGGATTTCTTCTTCATCTTCAGGAGGATAAACTCGGGGTCGACCAGCATCACTATGTTGCCTTTGAACACGTCCGGTTTGGCGGATGCGCGGATTCACACTAACATGAGGTGTTCGGCGATTCGGGAAACATTGCCGATATTCACGGCGGGCAGCTGCAGAATCGCCGTTACAAAGTCCATAACAGAACATTATGTCTGCGTATTCTTCCTTTGTAAAAGTTTGCCCGTGCTTGCTATGGCGAGGTCCTGGAGGATGTTCTGCGTCTGCCATGATGATAAAGAAACCACTCGAAATGAACTGGGAAACTCGAAAATAATAATCGTGCGTAAAACGTGTGCGCGTACGCAGTAGTTGATACCAACTAAACCTAATTCTCACTCGGCGTGCGATGATGGCGTAACCACAATGATGAATAATAACAGCTCTCTCTCTCTCACTCCTCCACTAAGTCAGCTCTTCTCGCTCGCTTCCTCGTCGAGCCGATGCCATAAAACAATCATGGCATGCGAGTCCTTTGAGGACAGTACAGGTAATACAAATTCCTTAAAAATCCAGCCTCTGTGTTTCTCTGCTGTTTCTCAGCATGTACTTCAGATAATTGAACGCTTAATACCTCAAATGAAAGCTTGTTAGATAGAGATTTTATTTACATAATTTGCACATTTCATTACTAGGAGATTTTTTACAGAAAATTGCATTTTTTATCGAATAAGTTAGTAAAAAAAAGAAAATGATACATTTAAAAAGCGTAATTTTAAAACGTTTGTAGCTGTTCAAATCGGAATATAAAATAAAAAACTTAAAATTCAAATAACTCAAGAATGGTTAACTTTTGGATAAGACATGATAGGACAAAATCGGTTACTTTTGACCTAATCTATCACCCCTTAACAGGAATACGTGACATTACAAGTCACCCTGTATAGTACCCTCGAACCTTTGATTTTCGACGCCTACAAAAACCTCTGAAACATCAAAAAACAAGTTTTAGCGGTTTTTATTTTTTTCGGGTGTTTCCCCTAGCTCTGCCACCACTAGACCGAATTTCAACAGTAATGTTTCTTGGCATAGTAGAAACACTGTAAAAATTGCATCGAAATCAGAGCGGTACTTCACAAGTTATAGGCGGTGATAGGATCAGCGGACAAATCGACAGACAGACCGACGGAAATGAGAGACATGGTTGAACGTGATATACGTCATATAACATCCAAAAAACATAATTTCTCATTTTCGAACATATTCGAAATTAGAATACTTTCCCGCTAGGAGACAGGTTGACTTCTATATGTAGAGTCGATGTAAAGAATACCTTAAAGGAAGTTTCATTGGTATATCGTTAGAAAATAGTCAGGTCACTTGTCGGCCGTCGATGTGAATGACCTGGGATCGCTTTTCAAGCATTATCCTCCGCAATGCGTATAGATCGAGCTGAAGCTAAAAACACGGATCCTGTCCGAGAACAAATTGTACAGATGGATCTTAAAACGGAATTATATCCTTAACGGCAAATGAAGAGATATTACCTCTAGATATACAAAAATGTTTGCTGGGTAACTTTTCTATTAATAGTCCAAATTGGAAATATCGCATTTTCACGTAAAAAGCACTGTGAAGTCTTGGACTAAGAATGAGAATCGTAATGGAATCGAGTGAATCTTAGGAGCGCTTTTAGAACTGTTATAGCTTAGTCAAAAGCTGTTTGACTTGTTTTATTCCTACGTAACTTTAAATATAGTTATCATAATTAGCAGCTATTTTGCTTGTAGCGTTTTTTCTTGTGTGCAAAGTTTGAAGTTTTGGATTTGTGACCGTTGATCCCAATTCAATGGATCATTGATCAAATTCCAAGGATTTACAACTTGAACTTGAAGGAATTATTTAAAACCGTTGTTGATATTGTACAAAAGACCACAATAGTATCAAACTATGTGTCACTTGTCGGTATGGGGTATATTGAAATATTAGTAGACAATCAGCTGCTATTAGCTGTCACATTCAACGTAATGGTTACTCGCGAGAATGACTTTACGTCCCTAGGAAGCTTGTAAGAAATGATCATTAACCTCAAAAGGATTAGAGGAAATTTTTTTGTAGGCTAATCATTCAAGATTCGACTATAATTTCATATATTTCTGTTGTGCACTTTTTCGGGGAAAACAATTTTGAAATTTGACCAGGTTTTGAGATAAAAGATGTCAAGACACTTTCTGGATTAACTATACTTAACTATCTGAAAAAACTAGTATATGCAAAAAGCTTATTGAGATGAAACTTTTTAGTTTTTGACCCAGGTGAAGATCTTAGACGTGTAGATGGATTCATGGTTCAACCGAAGGGAAATACTACCAAATTCTTCGTTATCCATTTTTGTTTTATAAATATGCAATATATTAGCAATACCCCTTGAACAAGTCGAAGAAATTAAAATTACATTCTTCCTGGTACTTGGTGGAAATATATTCGATGATTTGAGTTGACTTCCAAGCGGTTTTGGGCTCCACGCGTATCGAGCCACAGTGACCAGATTCTGCAGCTATGAAGAACTTATATTCGTCGTCCTCTGAAAGTAAAACGACTTGTGCCAACTTTATTATTTTCAAGAAAAGATAGCAATAAATAAATCGGCAATAACTTTCTGAGCAATTTTTTGAAATAAGATGTGTTCTAAAATAGAGCATATGCTACTTCGTTGTAAGATTGAGAAATACACCCTTATTCCAATACATTTCTATTGGTTTTGGCATTGGATCCCGTATAATAGTTTGGCAATTTCGGAATAGCAATTCTGACAACAGAATCGTAATGAGTGGTGGGGAAAGACCCTGGATATAAACTTCCGGATAACTTAGTTGAATTGTAAAATTAAGACGGACACTTTTTGGGATATTGCAGTGTGATCCGGTATTGAAATGAGACTGATTTTCTTAAAAATGGCTCATTTTATCGAAATCAAACAAGGATACATGTTCTCTGGCATTAGTTTCTTGTGTATGCGAGAAGTTAACTACGAGGTTTGTAAATTAAGTGATGAGACTAATTTTTTAGTTTTTTTGTTCAAATACAATTACAATTTTATATTACCATCCTCAAAATCACTTCCGTCTGAAGCCACACAGCGCTGGAAACGGTTCTTACACTCCTGATAGCATTGCTGGAACTTCGATACTGGATTTTCTCGAGCGAGTTCAAACTTGTATTGAAGGCGGATCACATGCTCCGCTGTCTCCCAAGCTCGTTGCCTCCATTGTTGCCAGATCGAACGCTATGTTGCCAGTCTCATGATTTAATTGACAGAACTCGTAAGCAATGGAGACGTTCCATGTTTTAATAACAAGATAGTCTGAATAGCTCTTTTGATGTTTCGATTTGTAAGTTTATACAATGTGATGGAGCTCACCTAAGTGTGGCAGCTTTTTCACTCCATCACTCCATGGGTTCCATAAGCAGAAGTCCGGCATTTTACTATCTCTGGTTATTTTAAATATTCCTTCATCCATGACATTGGTTACGTACAAATGTTTCTCGACAGCGCGATAGAGTCTGTCAGTCTGCTTCGTTACGGAGACTTCTTCATCTTCTTCTCTTCCTGTGGTATCGTGGATGATGTCATAATATTTACAACCCTTTAATCCTCTTACCGTACATTTAGACACGTCTGGAACCTAAAAGCAAATTGGAAACGAGCTTGATATAGTCAACGTAAGAACAAATTGAAAAGCGTTTTTCGAATTGGTAGTGCAAGACAAATTCGAGCTTCTTTGCTCCATTAAAGTAACACCGTTTTATCCATACTGGGAGCCATCAGTACGATATAGGCTCCAATATAGATTATCGAACAGCGAACGAAAGCAGACTAGTAGTTTCTATCTATCGCTTTTTATTAGCCTGCAATACTCTTTTTTACAAGCATTTATTTAAGTGAAACTCTTTGTTATTATAGTATGTAAGTACGAGGGTGGTCCCAGAAGTACCCGACCCAACGTAGAAAACGCAAAAATTCTGCAAAAAAATGTATTTATTTTTCAACATAATCTCCTTTGAGCTCTACACACTTTTCCCAGCGATGTTCAATAAGTTCGATACCCTTTTTATAATAAGAACTGTCTTGCTCCTCAAAATAGACATTAACTGCCGACATCACTTCTTCATCGTTGGAAAATCTTTGTCCACTGAGCCATTTTTTCAAGTTTGGAAATAGAAAATACTCCGAGAGGACTAAATCTGGTAAATAGGGTGCATGAGGTGGCAATTCAAACTTTAATTCGTTAATTTTCGCCATTGCAATAACGGAGTTGTGAGCTGGTGCATTGTCTTGATGAAACAACACTTTCTTCTTAACCAAATGCGGCTGGTTTTACTTGATTTCATCGCTCAAACGTTGCAATAAGTTCGCATAATACTCGCCGTTGATAGTTTTACCTTTTTGAAGATAGTCTATGAAAATTATCGCACGTGCATCGCAAAAAACCGACGCCATAACCTTGCCTGCAGATTAAACGGTCTTCGCCTTCTTTGAAGCCGGTTGCTCCTTTTGAGTCCATTGTTTTGATTGTTCTTTTGTCTTGAGTGTGAAGTCATGGATCCATGTTTCATCCATGCTTATGAAACGACGCAAAAATTCTGCTTTGTTGCTGTGAAACATCGCTAAACACTCAATTGAAACATCTTTACGACACTGTTTTTGCTCGATTGTGAGCAATCGCGGCACCCATCTTGCACACAGCTTTCTCATGTCCAAATTTTCAGATAATATGCGATGAACCGCACTTTTTGAAATGTCTACTATGTCTGCTAGCTCGCGCACTTTCAGTCTACGATCATTCAGTACCGCTTTGCGAATTTTCTTCACCATTTCTGGAGTCGTCACCTCATTTGGTCGACCACTGCGATGCTCGTCTTGGCAGCTCATAGGACCTCATTTAAACTCTGCTATTAAATATTTTACTGTTGTAAACGAAGGAGCAGACTCACCAAGAGTAAAATCTAGTTCAGCTTTTATATTGGTTGAAATAAAAGTATTGTACCACATAACGATGACCAATTTTCTCCATTTTCACAAATTCACTGAAAACGTTCAGTATTAATGGCTGCCAAGCAAATACTAAACAACGTGGCCTCTTAAAACTTGACACATATGCTTTTTAGGTTGCATACTTTCTAATACAATGATATTTTTCAAACAACTATCGCCATCTCTAGGTCAAGCCAAGTACTTCTGTGAGCTCCTTCGTATATGTGGGAAAATCTAGCAACTGAATTTTAAACCTGTTAACATTAACCATTGTTTGAACTTTGAAGTCAACGTGGACGTTTGAGATTTATATCTATCGAAATTCTATAGTACAAATAAAGAAGTTTATGGAGTACTACTAAACGTGCTACGTTTTGACAGTAGGATTGAAACACGCCTTTTTTGAGAACTTGAGATGGAGGCGCTTCATTATCGTTTAAATATTTCCAACCAAAGACAAATAAATATTTTTGAAATTTCAGTTCACTTTACTGACAAAAATCGAGAAGTGCAATATATACCCTTAGATATGAATGTTGCAAAAAGTTGAACCTAAACGGAATCGCAGAACTGAGGTTCTCTACACAAAGAGTGAATTTCAGCGTTGACTCCATCAGCAGCACTGTATAATAAATTTTGAACTGGAAGTTCCACAAAGACTCAGTCCAGTTATTGTGGGTCAAAGATAGAGTAACGTAGGCATTTCCCGCTTTGTCATAATTTGGTCCGTCTTCTATGTCCCATTGGGTTGCTCTGGAGAAACCATGATGCATTCCTTTGTCTGATACGCCGATGTATGGAAATATCATGTTTATTCCACCTATAAAATAATACAAGTAATTAACGTTCAACTTTTCTAAAAACAGTTTTAACTATAAAGCCCCACAGTAGTGATTTGAAATGTGAGCAGAAGACTCGTCTCATCGCCCACAAAGCGACAAGCAAGTTTGCGAATAATGGGTTCTTGAAATAACATAAATGTATCGCAAAAACTGCAAGGATATATTCGAAGTGTTTTGTGGAAGGCGATTACCACCCCAAAAAAAATAGGAGAACCTCAAGATAAATGAAGGTAATGCAATACCTCTCTTTATTCGAAGAAGGGCACAGATTACATTATAAAAACTTATAAAGATGCCATATCTACAGCGTCTTGTACTCTATTGTTTTTCTGTATTAAAAGTTATTATAATTAATAAATGTTACCGATGCACAAAGGTATTATTCAAAATTCACAAAAAAACTCCCTTTATTTGGACCTCTAAAGAGATTTTAGCCTGAAAAACTAAACGCGCATTCTTGATGATTAAATCTTGAACTATTGAGAACTTTAAAAATCATATATTGTTCATTTTTCAAAAGTGGTAACCTTATAAAGATAATTGATTCTAGTTTTAATGACACGCTTCGCTAAATTCTACTGGAAAAATATAAATAAAATATTCTATATCATTCTAAAACTGTCATGTAAAATTGATTTCTGAATAAAATGTTAGTAAGCATTCTAAATCTTGAAAAGAAAACGCTTTGATACAATTCATTTCCTATCGAAACAGTTGTCACCGAATGACGTCACGGGCAACGGCATCACGGCGTTTTCTCTAGGTATGGTATCATGAACGGGTCACCTGAGCAATTCTTTGATCATAAGGCTTAAGGTACAAGTGCTTTACAAACGTACACCTCAGTTTCTCTCCATTGGTTTTTTGTTTGAGAGTGATATGCTCCCGAACTGCACTATTAATTGTGTATGGAATGGACTCTGTCGATAGGGAGCGATATTCAGCAACTGAGATAAGCTGTGCTTCACGCAGCGCTAGGTCGTAGCAGCTGGTTGCTTAATCAATTTTTCGTATTTTTAACCTTCCAAAATCACATCTTAATCAGGATAGATCATATCCTATACCGTTAATTAGTATTTACCTTAGTTTTTTACGTATCCCTGCTTGTTAACAATATCTGAACCTAAGAGATTCACACCGTATCTCTGTCCTACCTTGAATATCCGTTCCAGAGAAAAGAATTTACGTCGATGTATTGGTTCGTTACTTAGATAGGCATTGCTAGGCAAAACCACCCAAAAGTATGCACAATACAGCTACGCAATTTTGATGACAAATCCAGACATACGTATAAACTTGGTTTCTTCTAACCTACTCAAATTTGTTGGGATCCATGCCCTAATTCTGTTGTCCACGAGTGGACCCCCAGTCCATTGATATTCTATTAATTTTAATTCTAGAGCAAGTGTCAACGTTATCTCACAAGCATTTATTGCTTTGATAACCGCCTAGCTATATTTCTTCTAGACTTTAATTCCAGATTATTCTCTAAATTAAACTATTATCGATAAACTATGCATTTTCAATGTTCTTAAAGTATTGACTTCTTACCTCGGACTGTGTTGAATTTGTACAATCTGGCTGTCCTACCCAGAAAAACCAATTCTATGTTCCTGACTCGCCAAGAAGTTACGGTAGCTCCTTGCCGGTTTATAGTGCATGTTGTGTAATCACCTCGATCTAGAACCACAGAACTGGCTCCTGTGAACATCTTCTTGAACAGGCAGATATTGCTGAATGACCGGTGGGATGTTGACAAGTGTCAGGAAAGCAGACGTTGATGTCCCTCCAACTGAGGCACCTTACCTCTCAGCTAATCCTCAGTCATATAAGCAATCCTCGAGATAATTGAATCAATCATTCCAAAAACCACGTAAGTCATATTTTTCCGCAACTTTTCCTTAAGGTTGCATGTCCCTTTTTTCAACCCCTGTTTGAAGCAGTATTCTGAATCTTTTTCATCTGATTATTTCATTTCAGAGGAATTTTATCATTTGTGTTTGTCAAAAAATGTTTTTATATTTTTTTGTGCATTTTTTCTTCATTCGTAAAGTGTTAACAAGTATTACGAGTAGTACAGCTCTGAAATTGTATGCCAAATTTCCTCTTTTATAGCAGATGGATAATTACTTTCACTCTTATCATTTTTTCTCTTTGAAAAATCTTTGATTTTCTCATGAAACCTCATTTTGCAGCAAATTGAAATTTCAAAAAAAGCAAAGATTTTTTGAAGAGAGAAAGGAAGGAAAAAGGAATCACCTGCTTAATTCTTCTATAAAAGCGGAATATTCACATACAATTTTAAACCTGTATTATTATTTTTTAACTAGTTACGATTGAAGAAAAAATGCATAAAAACTGTAAAAAATACATATTTTGACAAAAAAGCTGATAACATCATTTTTCAGTCATCTCACCACGAAACAATCAGATGAAAAGTCAATACTTTTCTTTCTCTTCAAATAATACTCGTTCATTGCAAAAACTACATAGGACTGCTTGGATACTTGAATGGGTCAAAGTCAGTACCATGTCCTTTGATTTGTTTTTTATCCATAGCAGGTACCAATGTCTTCAGAAACTATTATTGAGCATATACTTAAAACGTGAAATTGAACTTGACACTGTTGACAATGGAAACAGTTACGGTTTTTACAAAGCTGTCATCATTGTTTGTACTTGTCCGTGAAGTATAAATATTACTTCAATAATACAAAGTGTAGAGGAAAACTGTTCAGTACCCCCTCTTCAAGATGTGATTAAATAACCACAAAAAAACTTGAAAATAGTGACTAAAAAAAGTCGAGCTTGTTGTGCTATATTTTCTTCTCTCGAAAATAGATATTTAATCTTTTCAGTATAATTTATTATTATAAAACAAATAAAAAATAAAATCAATCCTTTTTAGCTATGATGTATGGCCTCAAATAGCACTTAACCCCAACTCACTCACTCTAAAATGTAATTATAGGATAATTTTTGTGTGCAAATCCAACATCCAGCATACCAACATTTACGCATGGCTTAATGAGAGCTCTAAAAGAATTAGCATATTCTCGCGAACGGACGTAGATATGAAATATCGTACGGACAAAATTTGAAGCTCATTTAGCGAGCGACGAAATTTCCTAGACAACTTTTTTCCTGTATCTACCGGGTGTTTCAAATTCGGCACTCACCATTGTAATCTCGGAAACTGTAAGAGAATCGAAGTGGCTTAAATTAGGGAGATGCGCATTTAGGTAACTAATAAGTTGTCGCTTTGAAAAAAGTTTTGAAATTCGAAGTAGTCCCGGTGAGAGACGAAAAAACCGTATTTTGCCAAACGCGTTTCAATTTTTTCCTGACTTTATTTGTAGTGTGATTTCAAAATAAACCTCATTTTGCCAAATAAATTCCAGATTAACATTACCACTTTTTCTCTTCTACAAGATGTATGATTAGAATTTTTTAGACGCCTTATTGGATTTTTGCATAGATGGAATAGAGTTTTTACTTTTAATTCAAAAATATATAATATGTTATACATGGACATTGCTAAACTTTAGTTATTTCAAAAAATAAGAATTTCGTAGGTAGGCCTTGAAATTATCAGACAGTCATTTATTTCGTATTCCGGATTTATTGAAAACTCGTGGTGGTGGTGGGTGGTTTTGGTGGGGTGGTGGACCCTTTACAAGGAGGCTTAGTCATATTTAGAATTAGACGCGTCTGCTTTCAATCTCCATCCTCAACTTTGTTTTTTCATATGGTGATAAATCTGATGTAGGGGAGACACGGGCAGCCGGAATCACTTTCGGAGAATTCATAGCACGAAATTATTAAAAAATGATCTATCTGAATACTTTTATATGGATTTTAATTATTTCAGAAACATTAAACACTACTATTTTAACTTTACAATATAGTTTGAGCAAGTTACGGCCTAAATTATTAATGACTGTATTTGATTCTATTTGCCCGACCCTCTAGGGTAAAAGGAATCACAGCTGAGGGCAAAAGGATTCAAAAGAAAAAATATAATATGGAAAATAGAAAAATATATATTATCATTAAGGAAAACTGAAAATGGTAACTCTTACAATAATTATTCTCTTAACCTAATTATTTTCTCTAATCTTTAACCTGATTTTATTAATCTTGATATATATAAAATAAAAAAAACTATTATTAGTAGAAACTGAAAAAGGTATTCTATAATTATTCTTAGCTCAATTATGTTCTCTGATCTTTGACCTGATTTTGACAATCTTGACAAATATAAATTCCAGTCTTGTAGCTTGTGCATTTCTGATGTGCCCACTTCTCACAGAAATTGCACTGTATCCAGTGTTCGCCTGGAATGGAGTTTTCAAAGGAATCGTCACATATCAAACATGGAGTTTCTTCTTCATCTGGAGCGGTTGTCGGTGGTGAAGGTGGACGAGGTATTTTCAGTTTGCTGGAATCTGTCTCTTGTTGGATCTTCCTTCTAACGCTTTTGACACATTCTTTGCTCTTACTTTTTTCTCTAATTTCTTCTTTAATTGGCGTAGAAGTCAAAATCTCTGATTTCTGTTGATTCCTTTTTATTTTGGGTTCTTTTCGTTTATCACATTTAGGTATAATATGAATATCATGAATTTTAATGCGATTATTTCCTTTTGGAGCGTCACTAGCTTGTTTTAAGGTCGTACTATTATTGAGACCAGAAGGTTCAGGTTTTGCGATATCATTATGGGCAGATGTACTGGGCGGTCCAATTTCAATAACATCCATATCTTGAGGATTATGGTTAATACGGACCTCTGGTTCTTCAATGTTAGTTACATCTGCTGGAAGGAAGTCCACTTCAGAAAAAACATCTAAATCACATCTTGCAATGCCAGTTTTTTCGAAACCTTTTATAGCGTTTGTTGGTGTTGCAGCTTTAAGGTAGGCATTATTAAAAATTTTGCCTACATCAAACAACGTAACGCGTTGTGCAGGATGCGCTTTTTGCCACTTGTCAATTTCATTTTGGAAATAAGTTCCGAAAGGGCCATAAACGGACACATCTAGCGGCTGGAGCTTGTGTGTCGTGTGGGGTGGAACCGACAAAATGATGACATTATTCTGAGAGGCATAATCAAGGACATCAATAGACCTATGAGAAGCATGATTGTCTAAGATTAATAGACATTTATGGTCTTCATTTGGTCTAACGTTGCTTACAAAAAACTTCATCCACTCCAGGAAAGCTTCGGAACTTATCCATCCAGAATCAGGTACTAACTGAGAAGAGCCTGGTGGAGTTCCTTCCATGTACCTTGGATTTTTCTTTTTCCTTGGGAAAACTAGTGTAGGAGGAATATATGCCCCAGCAGCGGAACAACAAAACAGTGCCGTTACTAGTGTGCCTCGCTCGGAGGAAGATATAGCTCCAACTCCCTTTTTGCCTTTCAGGGAAATAACCTTAGGAGGCCTATTTGTAGAGGTTTGGATCCCTGTCTCATCTTCATTGTACATATTTTCAGGCAAAATATTGTTTTTCTCGATGACGTCCCTCAAATTTTCGAAAAACCTCTCCACTTGTGGGCGATTAAAGCCACTGGCTCGTGCAACACTGGTCGGCTCAGGTGTCCGTAAGCTTAACTCAGGATGTCTCTTCATAAAATTTTGATACCATTGCTGACCCGCTGAATTATTTTTAAAACAATGAATAATGTGGTTCGCTTCGGCGTATTGATATGCTAACACACAAAGATCTCGTCGGGTAAGCCCATAAAAACGGCTATCAAGCTCTTTGATACTGGTAACAAATTCTTGTTCTTCTTCTGGAGTGAAAACCGTCTTAAATCTGCCCAGAGATTTAGTAGTTTTATTAGACTTCACATGCTTAAGGAACGTTGAGAATGGAATGTTATATATTAAAGACGCTTTTCTTATCGACTCCCCGTTACGCACTGCTTGCAATGCATGTTCCATGGATGTTTCTGTCCAGGTGCTTCCTCGTTCCGACTTTCTTTTATAGTTGAAAACCATCTAGAAAAGAAGCGAAAAATTACATACCTACATGAAAATCGAAAATTGATATACGGGCAAAAGGAATCATGATCCCTTTTGCCTGATTCCTCTTGCCCGAAATGCACTGTCACAAAGGAAATAAAAATTTACGAGACGCTGGCAACAATGGACATATTTTCAAGGTTAGGTAGAAAAGTAGAAGTGCCAATCTTTCGATTATTAACTAAATCGTTTTGAATAAATGGCTGAGTCACTACTTACCCTTCTTCAAAAATCCTTTGAACAACTATTCAAGACGTAATTAATTAGAACACCTTAAAAAATATGAGGTAAAAACTTTAGCACGAGGGAACGCGTTGCGCATGAACTTGTGCCATACTCAGCGAATTGTTAAACAGCGTTGTCAGGTTTCTGTGATGAAGCTGTTTTCATTTATTTAGCTGATTCCTTTTGCCCACTATATCCCTTTTGCCCGATTTTACCCTACTCAACTATAGAGCTATAAGCATTTTGAACAACTTTGCAAAGGCTTTTGAAATGGCCATTTGCTCTTTTATCTTCGAGAACGTTAAAAGCCTAATTATACCATCACAGCAAGGTTTCATCAAAGGTAGATCCACTACGTCAAATTTAATGGCAATTACGCAGTATATATCAGAATCGTTAGACAATAAATAACAAGTCGATGTTAAGACAGTTAAGACGTTCCACTGCTGGCCTGTCATTCCTTCATAAGCTTTATAACGACAGAGTGGATGTACCAGAACTTCTCCAGAGGTTAAATTTCTGTATTCCACG